GAGAGACCACACAGAGATCTGTGTCCTCAGGGGGACTCTGCCCCTCAGTTGCCTATGTACAGCCTTGGGCATGTTTTTGCTAGTTTTGCTTTTTTCTGAGTTAAATGGTTTTAATTGCATTGCAGGTGCTGCTGTAGGTGACTGAAGCAGAGTTAATTATTTGTGTGGAGCTCTCAGCTGAGAGTCCCCTGCTGTTCCTCCTGGAGAGGCAGCAGCAGAGGCGCTGTGTGGCCGTACCGGGCGGTGCAGCACGGTGTAACTGCTGAGTAACTGCTGAGTAACGGGTCAGCACACCTGGCACTGGGTTTGCAGGAGATGCAGGTGTTTCATGGCCCCAGCTGCAGCGTTCAAGCTTGTCCCCATCCCTTAAGTGATACTGATAGCCTTGAAGTCAGCTTAAGGAAATTTTCTTAGTTAGTGCTCCTCCCTGGTCATTCCAAGGATGCTAATACGTTCAATCAAAGGAGGAAGTAGTTTCTGAAATGCCAGCTTTAATTTTACTATCGCACATAACTCATAGATGACAGTGATCTGCAGTCATGCTCTGCACGAGGACTCAGTTTGCAAGTCTCAGTGTAGAGGTGAAGGAGAGGGAAAGGTGAAAGGCATTTTGGCTGCATCTGGCGCCAGGGCTGATGCCACCCAGGCAGCCTCATGGCTTAATTACATAGTGCCATGGAAAAGAGCTGACTGGCAAAAAGTGATTCCATGTGACTGAGGCTGGTGGGAGACAAGGGAAAGCTCAGGCTGGAGCTGTCCCCAGAGCCAGATGTTGGAGCTCCAAGAGAATTCCACTGAATCCCCTGGAAGTCACTGCACTGCTGGGCAGCAGCTCTTGGTGTGCAGTGCCTGGCATGGCTGTGCCCTCAGCCCTGCAGGAACAGGCAGCCAGGCTGGGGGGCTCAGCCTCCCCTCCTGTGCAGGACCCCTGTGGGGAATATGGGCCCTGACCCCAAATAAACATTTCATGTGGCACCCAGGCCTCCATCAGCTGGATATGGATCATTTAGCAACACTGCATCAATAAGTACATAACATGAAAATGTTTTATTTACATCATGTACCTTGTCCTCAAGAATTCAACCCTTTTAATGGACATAAGTAAACACGATTTTCTTCTGTATTTCAGCATTTCTATTATAAAGAATGTCTTTTTAAGAAGCCTTTCTATTTCCAAATGTGTCCCTCTGAAGAGCAGCTGCAGAAGGAATTGGTTTGACCTCTGCTTCTTTAATTGCTTTTTGCTCTGTTGGCCTAGAAATGCATGTTGCTATTGTGTAAATTACTGTGACAGTGGAAAAAGAGCTCATGAGATCAGGTGTGTAGTTTCTGTCAGGAAAATACGCTTCTCAAATGGAAAGCAGCATCTAGCAGTTCATAACCAGAGTCTGGGTCAGTCTGAAAATCCCAAATGTTAATTACTTAATTTTCTGCTATTGAGCAGCTCCATGCTGTCACTGTTTTTGTGGCCAAAGGCAGATTGAATATGGAATTTACTATGAGCTCCTTTCAGACCCTGTCAGGGGATGTTCAGACATCAGGGAACACAACTCAGTCCACTTGTACACTCACCTGGACTCGGTATGTGGCAGAGTGCTCAAGTGCTGCCCATGCAGTTTTTTCACCTTCACCTGTTGTGGAACAAGCTGGAAGGAAAGAGCAGGAGCTTTTTACCCACCCCAAGGCTGAAGGTGTGAGTTTGTGTGGCATTGGCTCCACTGCAGGTGAGGATGCAGCCATGGTGTGTGTGTCACTGTGTGCAGCTGTGTGCAGGCTGCCTGTCTGCTGCTCCAGCTCTGCAGGGCTTCCCTGCTCCAAGGGGCTCCCAGGGCTCCCCATGGACACTGCTGCACCAGCAGGGCCCTTCCAGCCAGGGCAGGGCCAGCCCACGGTGGGGTGCAGCTCACCTTGTGTCCTGCAGCTGTGACTGCAGGGCTGTGCCTGAGCGCTGGGTGGTAGCCAGGCTCTGTGCCTGCATCCAGGCTGTGCTGGTGCTGCTTCTGCAGGGCTCTGGAGCAGGCTGAAGGGTCAGACCTGAGTGCAAGCAGTGCAGCAATGGCCGGTGCTTGTCGGTGCCCAAGGCAATGGTTCCTCCCCTGCTGGAGAAGTGAGTGCTGCAGCCAAGGGAGGGCTGGGGAGCTGCTCCCCCTCCCCGGGTCACGATGGGAGCACCAGTCTCTGCTTCCTGCTGCTCACCTGGGCTCCTACCGTTCTCTTTTCCAAGCTGTTCTTGGAAGTACTGGAGGCACCAACAGGGAAAATGGTGCTCCTGAATGTGAGCAAAGGAAAGGCTTTATTTTCTCAATGCCAGCTCCAGCCCCCTCTCAGGTAAGGTCTGTTCCACAGCTTGGTGAGCTCAGCCATCAGCAGATTGCTCAGTAAATCCTGGCCATTTAGCAGTGGAACAGAGCAGTCAGCTTCCCAGAAAGACATGTCCTTGAGTTTAAGAGGCTTCTGAACTGACAGGTAAAGCTGAATTTTTGGCACACAAAGACCCCTCATCTTTTGAGAAAGCTGCTGTGGTGAAGCTGTGAGTTTGTAAAGCTGAGGTCAGTCTAGTGCTACCTCTTATGGTCTATGTGTGAATAAGCATTTGGCCTTGGCAAATGTCTTCACTGTTCCTCAGCAATAAGTCTCTGTGCTATCTACAGTAGTTAATGATAAAAGCAACAATGCTTGTATAATTAGCCCATTAATACCCCAAAGGACTCAGCATGCTAATTACCTGACACAATGAGATTAGCAAGTTGCATTACAAGAATTCAAAATAGTTGGATCAGCAGTAGAATAACAGGTGCCCTTAGTTAGCACACCTGCTTGTTTTACAGTCCTGGCATAGAGTATTTTTGAAGAATTGGTATGCCTGAAGTACTTCTCCACTGTTAATTTATCCTGTGATTAATTGGTGGCCTGTAAGGCTTCTTGGTTTAAATTACTTGGTACTGTCTCCCAGGATTAGGCTTCATCTTCCTTCATTTTACCAAACAAAAAAATAAAACCCCGAAACAAAACCAAACAAACAATCAATCAAGCCCCCCCCCACCAACCACCCCTCCCTCCAAAAAAAAAAAAAAGGAAAAACATATTATTAAAAATTTTAGTTTTGGGGTATTTTTACGTGGTTTTATCACAATATTTGCTTTCTGTAGGCTAATAAATCATAGCAAAACATTTAGTATAGTCCTGCTAGCTACACCTGTGATCCATTGCCTTGTAGGAGAACTCATTAATAACCCTGACAAGCTGTGTATTAGTTGGAGATGGATGGCTTAGAATTCCTGAATGTGTCCTCAGAAGGTGGCCTTCCCAAAAAACACCAGCCTGGCCTCTTGACAGGGGCACTTGCTTGGCAACACATCCTGATGGCATCAGCCCTAGATAACTGATGGTGACAGAAGAGATGCAGTTTTCCTGCTGGGGTGGTGAACCCCAGATCATTTCTAAATGTCATTTAAAGATAAACTTACAGGGCTCTGAGTTGCAGGGTAGATTTTTTAGAGCAATTATTTGAACAAATTACTTGGGCATTTGAAGGTTTGCTGTCACCTAAAATATCCACAGGTAATTTGGTGAGCAGAAGGATGTCTGCCCATAAACTGTGTGTGTCAGAGCTGTCAGAAGGGATAAAGTGAGATGTAACCTGGCACTGCTTGATTTCAGGACTGCACTGGCAGGTGGTGCCTGAGTCACCCAGAGCAAGATCCCAGACTGGTACAGAGGTGAGGAACCAGTTTTGCAGAGAGTGGAGATGGCAGAGGGGCAGGTTAAAGTAGTGCTGATCAGCTGGGGGCTGTGTTATAACAGGAAATGCACAGCCTTGACAAAGGTGTTGATTAAAAGTGAGGTTGGGTGTGTTGTGCCCGGTGTCCTTCCTGCCTGTGAGGGTGTGCACACATCAGGGTGATGCTATGGGGGTTCCCAGATGTTGTTTTGCTGCCAGTGCTGGTTTCCAGCAGCCCTGGAGAGCTGCTGCTGCTGGCAGGGGCTCCATGCTGGGCTGAACATGCTCTGGCTGCATCAGCTCAGCTGGATTTGGATCTCCTGTAGACATTTGTCCTTAAAAACCCCTTTCTTTCCTGAGGAGATTTTCTAATCACTAATATTCCAGGCAGTGCCTGTGGATATTCTGGCTTTAGCTTGCAAAGACTTTGTTTCAACTTTCTAATGAGTTGAGGCAGGGCTTCAGTTTGCTACTCACAAAGTGCTTTTCCTCCTGTCTGATGGGAGCGTTCAGCCTTTCCCAGGATCAGGACCACCATTAGGGTTTGCTGCTGTCTGCTATCTTTTGTTCCAGGAGGCTGGGCTAATCCAAAGGACAGGGTGTTGGATTGATGTCTCTCCGTGAGTTGCTTTCCTGGATGTTTCACAAGTAGCTGCAGTGATAATTTTGGCAAATTCTTACCGTGTAAACATCCTGCTGACAGCCTGGACATGTGTAATTCCTGTGTCTGAGCAGGGAAAGCTGCTGGTTGGCACTGGAGTGCTTTGTGTGATGTGTGTTTGGAGGAGGGCAGTTTGAGATGCTGCTCCTGCATTTCCCCAGCTCAGGCTGCTGAGCTGCTTTTGTGATTTCATTATGCTCAGGCAGAGCTTTTGGCCTTCTTCACATGATGTAATTCTCCTTCAAGGCCAGGCTGGACAGGACTTTGAGCAGCCTGCTCCAGTGAAAGGTGCTCAAAGGCAGGGAGGTTGGAATAGGATGATCTTTGAGGTCCCTTCCAACCCAAATCATTTTATGAATCTACTTCACCTATTCATGGTAAATACCGTGGTAACTGTGGATTTGTGTCCTGTTTATTTGTTTTTCAGTCTATAGCACAGCTTATTTTATTCCTTCCAAGCTCCTGTTTCTCTAACATTTTTCAGAGGCTGAGTTATACACCAAAAATGCTGGCATGTGGCACCTGGACATTTGCAGGACATGCGGTTTGCTGGGGCAGGGCTCTGGGTGGGCGAGTGGTGCCTTTGCCTTGACCAGCGTGTGTTTCTGCTCTCCCCAGTGTACGGGCACAACGTGAAGAGCAGCAACGACTTCATCGGGCGCATTGTGATCGGGCAGTACTCGACGGGCGCGCCCGAGTCCAGCCACTGGCGCCGCATGCTGAGCGCGCACCGCACGGCCGTGGAGCAGTGGCACAGCCTGCGCTCCCGACAGGAGTGCGACCGCGTGTCCCCCGCGTCCCTCGAGGCGACATGAGCTGCGACACCCACGGCAGCCGGGCCGGGCGGGCGGACGAGAGAGAAAACAAAGCAACGACTGAAACACCCCACCTCACACCCTGCACGCACCCCGCAGCAGCTCCGCTGGATTAAAGCGGCTGCCAGCACCCAGCTAGCCGTGCTGGCCTCGGTGATCCAGCTGTTCCCCTGGGGCCGCACATCTGGCTGCTTGCCCCCTGCCCCGCGGGGCCGGGCTGTGCATGGACGTGCCGTGGGAAGCACGGAGTGGGCGAAGGAGCTGGGAGCTGCCTCTGCTGTCCTTCCAGCCCAAATCCATGGCTCATCCTCTCGGAGATATAAGTACCCGTGTGCTCTCGTTGGTGAACGTGGTAATTAGGCTAGAATACTTTTTTAAACGGTAGAACCTGTGGTGAAATCGATTCTGACTGCAGTTTTGTCCTTGTACTAGTTTTAACAGAATTAAGCTGCTGTTGGTGTGTGTGTTTGTGTGGCCCACGTCAGACGGACCCCATGTCCCATCAGTGGTGACCTGCCAGTCTCGATAGCAGTCTGTGTGCGTAGTAAATTCCGTGCTGATATAGCAAAATAAACATTTCCAGTAGCATTTGTCCTGGGAAAACCAGCTCGCGTCCTTTCAAACATGTGCTGTGCAAAAAAAAAAAAAACCCTGCTCCAGGGATTTTGGCGGTTAAGACCCAGAAAACACAATTTTAATTCTCTCACAGACTGCAGTGGCTCTTTCTGTGTTGTGTGTGTTTACCCAGGTAGTTCTTCAGGTCACCAAGTGAACTTAGCTACGGTCAAGCTGTCCTGTCAGTTGCTTCTGTACATTTTATTTTTCCACAGTGTACTGTCTGGTATGATGCAGATTGTATATTTATTGAAAATAAAATTCTATTTAATTGTGCCACATGGATTGGAGTAGTACTTGTTGAATTCACTTTTCTGTCGAGCTCCTTCAGTTATGCTTATGGAAGAAGGAAATAAAAAATGTTGGCAGTTACCCTGTTGTTACTCACTGCAGATAAACTGGGAGCAGTTTGAGAGAAACTGGGCACCTGCTGGTGGAGGTTGGTCTGGAGAGTGAGCTGGATGCCTTGGTCTGGCCATGGTGTTTGCCAGCCAGACCCCTCATAACACCCTGGGGGTTGGATGTGTCAGACTCCAGAGATGGCACGTGACAGGATGGGCAGCACTCATCTCCCTCCTCTATTCATTAAATGAAGCCCAAAATGAAACCCCAGCACCTCCTATACTTCTAATATTTTGATTTTTAAAAAGGAAAAAACAGCACATATGCCTATTTCACCCTTGTTTGTTATTTAGCTGCTACAGTTAGGCACAGGTGAGTCTGAAAAAGCAAAACAAAACCCAACCATACCAAAACAACCCAAACCAAAAAAGCTCATTGCTTGCTTTGGCAGGTGTCAGTATGTAGGTCAATAATCCCTGCTGCTGTCCAGATTTTCCTGCTCCAGGGTAGGTCTGTGTTGTAACTCTGATATCAGCATCCCTTCAGCACTTTGCCCATGGCACCTGGCTCCCTGCTGCTGTCCAGGACAGCTGCTGTGTGTCAGCAGCACACAGCAGTGGGGCAGTGGTGTCTGCAGGGCTGTCCAGGGCCATCCTCTTTCTGAGCACACTCTGGATGCTGGGTATCAATTCTAACCTGCCTCTCTGCAACACGAAATTTCTTCTCTATCCTGCAGTGAAGTTGATGGCAAATCTCTGTTCTCTGGCTTCCTCCTGGTTTGTCTCATCAAAAAATCACAGTGGAGAGGGACCCCACGGGCAGTCCTGGGCAAACGTGCTGTAGGAGGCTGATCTCTTCCTGCAGCTCAGAAGGCTCAGGCAAGGGGCCGTGGTTTCAGCAGTAACTGTGGTTGACATTTATATTCTTCCATGTGGGGCCTGTGGACTGCAGAATGGACTCGGGATGTCCATGAGAGCAGGCACGTGCTTTGCTCAGCACTGGGGATGAAATGTGAACAGAAGATAATCTTGCCTGAGCCTGTCCTTGAAGTCATGAGGTATCTGTTCCACACCGAGGAAAAGTCATGTACACGGGATGCCAAAAATTGGTGAGAGTGCCCAGAGGGAAGGTCAGGAAGAGCAGAACAGAAGCATGCTGAGGAGCTCCTGGCCTGCAGAACAAACACAAGAGTGTGGGAGGGAGAGGAGCAGGAGGGATGGGTTGTGGCCACGCTCCTGGGTCCACAGCCAGCAGGTGAAGTGCAGCTCATGTTTGGTGAAGTTGGAAGGTGACCCAAAGTGCAGCTGCAGCTCCAGCTGGCACTGCGTGCACGACGTGCTTGTGCTGTCCCAGTGCTGGCAGCAAAGCTGGTGCCCAGCTGCTGTGCCAGGCTCAGGGCTTGGCTCAGGGGCAGCACGGGGGGCTCAGTGTTCCCACCTGCACTGGGGGACACTGCTGCCATGAATCTGGTTGGTAGAAACCAGGATAAAAGTTATTCAGGATGTCTGCTCCCTCTTTAATATGAATATTTGTGCTTTGGGAGTAGATTAATATGCTCAAAGATTTCTGTTCCATAGTTTGCTAAAAGTTGTTTATAACACTGGCTTTATCTGAGGATGGCACACAGGAAAGAAGAGGCATGCCTTGACTTCTAAAAATCCAAATTCCTTCATTTTTAGTGCTCTGCTGTAGCAGTAGGCTTTTCCTTAAGCCAGATAATTTCAGATCAATATATGGAAGGGGGGGTATTCTTAAAAGTCTTTATTTAATACGAAGCAAACTTAATATAAAAAAAAGTTGATTGAATGAGTTACTGTCTCTGGAGTAAGTCTGGATGCTTTACTCTACTGGTGTTGCCCCAAATGGTTTATACTTGAATCTCTAAAAATGGGTCAAAAATGCTGAAAATCTTTATGTGTAGCTAAGAATAAAAAGGGAACAGCATTGAGAGTGCTCCTAAGCAGTTCCTTCAGTGCTGACTTAAGGCATAAATTGGAAATTGAGCAGGACCACAAAATAGTGTATTATTTGTGCCTATACCATTTCCCTTATGAGTGCAACAGTTAGAAAAGGATTTTATACAATGTTTTTAAAATCTGAAGTTTATGCCTAACAAAATGTTGACCAGAGGAAGGAGACACGCTGGATTATATTGGTACAGACTGCTGTATCATGTCATGTTTTTTGCTGTTACATGACAGCACAGACCTGGCAGATGAGCACAGAGTGAATTCCTGAAGTAGCCTTGGAGCCCTGGGCACAGCTGGGGGTTCCTTCTTCCAGGCTGTTTAAGTGTTTAAGTGTGTCAGCCCATTGCCTTGCTCTGGGAAAAAAATCCCAAATCAAACACAGGAAAAAAGCCAGCAACCCATCCACCCCAGCCCCCGCCCCTCCGAAACTAAACCAAAACAAGAAATGGGGCACGATGTGTTAAACCCACTGCCCTGGGAGCCTTTCCCGTGTCTCCCTCCCCGGCTGCCGCAGCTGCCGCTCCCCGGGGTCATCACGGCTCTCGCCTCTGCCGCCCCCGCGCCCGCTCCGTGCCCGCTCTGTGCCCGCTCCGTGCCCGCTCTGTGCCCACAGCGGGGTCCCGTCTGTCACCCCGAGGTGACGGGCTCCTCCCGCTCGGGTTGTCCCGAGCCTCCTCTGCCCGCACCCGAGGAGCGCTGCGGGATGGGGACACTGAGCACCTGGGAGGGCGAGGAGGGATGATGTCCTTCCTCGCCTGCGGCCCCGGCGGGTGACAGCAGCTCCTCGTGAGCAGCGTGCAGGACCCCGGTCTCGGTCCGGCTCCTGGCGGGATGCGCTGAGCGCGGGCGGGCTCAGCCGGGGGCGGGCTGGGGGCAGCGCCGAGGGCGCGGGTCCCCGCTGGGATGCGCTGAGCGGGGCCGGGGGCGGGCTGCGGAGGAGCCACCGCTCGGGGGAGGGGGCAGCGCAGCCCCTATATCCGCCCCTATATCCGCCCCGCCCGGCAGCCGCCCCAGAACCCGCGGGACCCGGCCCGAGCGCGACCCCCGCAGCCGGAGGGACCCCCAGGCAGGTCGGACCTCCCCGGGACCCGGCCCCGGAGGGACCCCCAGGCAGGTCAGACCTCCCCGGGACCCGGCCCCGGAGGGACCCCCAGGCAGGTCAGACCTCCCCGGGACCCGGCCCCGGAGGGACCCCGAGGCCGGCGGGACCCGGGCGGAGCGGGAGCGGTGCGGGGCGCTCCGGCCATGGGCAGCGGGCAGGCTGTGTGTGCGCTGGTGGCCGCCGCCCTGCTGGCCGCCCACGCCTTCCCCCAGACCAACATCAAGATCAGCCAAGGTGAGTGGTGGCCGCGGTGACCTGATGGGATGGTGGCGGCAGGGAAGGAGCGTTGTGCCTCCCGCAGAGCTGGCAGCTGGTTGTTCCCCTGCTCCAGAAATCCCCGACTTTTCTTTGAAACCAACTTTGTTCTTGATCATAGGGCCGTGCCTGGTCCTTGCTTGGCGATGCCAAAGGTCCCTGGGCTGGCTTTGTTTGTGTGTGCCAGGTCAGCCTTTTGGCCTTTGCCAGCACGCGCTGCAGGGAATGGCTCCGCTCCGGGGGCAGGAATCACTGCCCGATCACACACATGAAGGGCGCGGGGTTGTGGCCATGCAGCCCAGCAGGATAGGCTGAAAGTCATCAAGTCCCCTCGTTTATTCACGCTTACTGCATGTGAAACAAATACGGGGCTCTCCCTTATTCCCCTTCTTTGCTCTGAGCTGCTGCTGACTCCTGTGTGTCATTTAGGTTTCTTCCAAACTTTTTCGAGGTGTGGGTGCAAGTGGGAGTTGCCGCACCAAGTTTGTTAGAGCCTTGTTAGGTTTATTGGGATCGTGAGTGGAAAAGGACTCCTTAAGTGCTGTTTGGTGAGATCATGAGAAAAAGGATCGATACAAGCCTGGCTTTCCTGCCAGACGCCTAATCCGTGGGAGCTTTGCCAAAACTAATTAAGGAGGAAAAAACTCTGCAAGATAACTTCTATCTGTCAGTGCCAGCTGCAAGAGCATTGCTGCCGGTATTGGCTGTAGCCTCAC